GACGTTTATGGGCTGAGCTTTCTTAACGCCCAATGACCGCCAAACATTCCGCCCAAATGTCTGATAAAAATTGGGAAGTCTTAATGAGAATGACCAGTTGAAGGTCTCGGCTAAAATACGGATGCACGATTCTTCAGAGTGTGAGACTTCTGCAGGTACTGCCACGCATGTATCTTGTTTTCACTTTTATTTCATTCGGTTGCCGCCCTCAAAGCTTGTCAGGAATGCTCAGCGCAAAGTGCGCCTCAATGTTCTAGAAAGATCGCGATTACTGTGGATCGCACTGTAAAGATTTCGCGCAAGACGCGAACAATGAAGATTATAATTATTTAACGCCCCAAAATCACCACAACGTTGTGAGAGAAGCCGTAGTGCAGGGCTCCGTAAGTTTCGACCACCGGGGGTTCTTTAACGTGCACCACAATCTGAGCCCACGGGCCTACTGCATTTCACCACCATCGAAAATGCAATCACCGTAACCGGGATTCGATCTCGCAAACTGCGGGTCAGCAGTCGAGTACCTTGGCCAGTAGATTACCACGCAGGGCCCACTCGAGATTATTCCAGAGCTTTAGCGCGAGCAGTGAGAAGGCTGGAATATTCAACGGCACATGTAAAAATGCCGACGCGCTTCCCCGCTTTCAGTTCATCGACGGCCGATGCTCAGCTCGCCGCTATAAGTGCCAGTGTGTATCACTACTATCCGACTTCTATTTGACCAGCTACAAGTTAGGCCAAATAAAGAGTTAATCTTCATCCCACATCTGCTCAATTCGTCGACGTGAAATGCTTCACGATCCATGTACCGCATGCCCCCTTCAGCCGTTCGCCAAGTTCACGCCACTGAGAAGACACCAACGTCTACCACGACAAGCGAGTCAGCCGCAGGCAACAAGGTCTCTCACCGGATTACCCGACATTTACCCGACAATACCCGCACAACCAAGACCATGACCACGACTGCAGCGAAAAATGACAGCCTCTGCGCCATCGCCCGTGGCGATTGTGATGCAGCCACCAAGAGAGCCACCGAGAATTCATGGATCCTTTAGTTAAGACCCAAAGACCCGGCAGTAGGCATACGACCTAGTGGCCATCCTCAACCACTAGAACATTGAAGAGAAGCTGCGTCACGTCTGATTCTACCTGGAAGACAGGGCAAAGACCTAATGCGAGAATCGGAGTCTGGACTTCAAGACTGGATTCTCTTCCATGGCACATTCCTGGGTGCGTTCAGGAGCGTCGCCCACAAAAAAAAGGGCCATTACGTTGGTGGAGACGCGGGCACATCTCCCGAACAAAAACGCGACCATGTTCGTCGAAGAGAGGACGCTGCTGTTTCGTAACGTCGACACCGTCATGGCTGAGGGAAAGCAGGTCAAGTTCCTGATGCGAGGAGTCAAGCTCGAGCTGTTTGCGTAACTTGTACGCAACCCACCAGGACTCTCACAGAAATCCGTGCCGCGCCCACAGCTATACAGAAGGCACTTGAGAGGCGCACAACGCAGTAAAACCGCCGCTCATCATTTAACTACGCTGAAGTCTATGCCTTCAGTATTGAGAACCTGCGCAGGAGCATCTGAGCGATCGTGCGGGAGGAGCTGCACCACGATTCTTTATTAATTTTTTTCTGGTCATGAAATTCCCCGCGAAAGTTTCATATGGGGACAAAAGTGGCCACCAGACGTGCCACCGTAAGTAGGGGGGCGTCGAACGGCCGTGTTGGGCAGACCGTAGCGCGTTCATGGAAGCGTTTCACATGAAATACACTTGTTCAGAAGTTTTCGTTCTCCGTCAAAGTGTCAGAGTGGCCCATGTCAAAGTGGCCCATGATGCACGTTGTTAAAGTGCCTAAGTCCTAGATTGCTGACAATTTTTTAACCGAGTCTGTTTGTCAGGTGACACGCATTCGTAGCGTTCCTAAATTTCTCAATTTCTGAAGAGTCATTATTGGGCTTAAACCGAATGCTGTGATTGGCTCTAGATGACTCAAAGATTAACGTAGTTTGCGCTAGAGATTGCGAAGCAGCCGTGCTCTGGCTGCACGAAACAACCATTTTCAGAATAGTTGTAACTTTATCCTACAGGGCATCACGAAGCAGCCAATTGAAGTTTGTGTGCCAATAAACAAATCTGTATATCAGGGTCACTTGGCATTATTAGCCTTGAAATACCTCTGGTGGGATTTCGTTAGGGATCAAGCCGAAAAATAAAAGCTCAGAATGAGACACCACAAGACCGAGAGGGTTGCTCAAGTGGTCTTCTTTCTTTTAAATGAAAGTATTTCTTAGCGAACTTTGGTGATTTTGAGCGTACCTATCTATCTATCTATCTATCTATCTATCTATCTATCTATCTGTCTATCTATCTATCTATCTATCTATCTATCTATCTGCCTACGACTTTCAGCTCTCCTGTCCGTTTAGATAATGGTATCGATACCAAACGTGGTATGGCATTAACATTACTGTGTGAAGAACATATTTGACTAGTCATAAATGAAAGTCAAGACACGCATGTCATGAATGTCATGATTTATATTTTATGGTTCTGCAGCTTTCGGTGGTTTTGTTCACATGGCATGTTGCAAAACTGGTATGGTATGACATGAATGCATGGCGGACACAAGCAGCAGACATTAACATAAAAATCATGACATGCGGGCCATGTAACAACATTACTACGTTCCATGCTCATGATGTGCCCGCGGCCGTTTTGTTGGCGTCACATATACCAAATTTGGTACTACGGTACGTGAAAAGAAAACGAAGGTATGTGACTGGTGCAAACGTGATAGTCATGAGATGCGCGTCATGTAATAACATAACTACATTTCACGCTCATGATGCACTGGCGGCCATTTCGCTAGCTTCGTCCATAGCAAATTTAATATTACGGGACGCGAATGAATGACGAAAGTATGATACTGCTGCAAACATGATAAACGTGAGTTGCGTGTCATGTAACAGCATGGCTACATGGCACGCTCATAATGCGCCGGCAGCCGTTTCGCTAGCTTCAGTTATACCAAATTTAGTATTACGGGACGTGAATGGAGGAGGAATGTATAATACTGGTGCCAAACATGATAAACATGAGATGCGTTTCATGTAACATGACTACATGCTACGCTCATGATGCGTTCGCGGCCATTTCGCTAGCTTCACATGTACCAAACTCAATACTACGCGACCCCAATGAATTACGAAGGTATGCGACTGGTGCAAACATGTTATGAGATGTGTGTCATGTGAGAACATGACAACATGCCAGAGTGAAGACGCCAATACATTTCGACATGACGCGAGGCGCGTGCTCGCCGGCGTTCATTTTGTCACGCCGGCGTTTCCACACCAAGCGCCGGTCCTGCCACATACTCGCAGGCGCGCTCCGCGTTGCGATGCTTTGAGGCATGCGCATTTCAGCGCGTTCGGCGCCCCCCAATCACTAAAAGAGGGAGACGTAGTGTTGTTTCGCTAACGCATCGATGCGAAATGCAGCATGTCGCATTTCGCGCCAATTGCCGTCGGGCCGCGCCGACTGACGCTGGTCGCGCCTGGCGTGAGACCATAAAGTTCTCGCGTTTCGCAAACGCAGCGTCGCTGTGCCCAGCGTGCACGCGCGTCAACGTTACATTGGAGTATATTGGGCTCTTCATGATGCACTCGCGGCCGTTTTGCCAGCTCCGCATATACCAAATTTGGTGTTACGGGATGTAAATGGATGACGAAATATATGACTGGTGCAGACATGATAATCCTGACACGCTTGTCATGTAAGAACATGAGAAAATACCACGCTGATGGCGTGCTCGCGGCCGTTTCGCTAGTTCCACATATACTAAATTTGGTATCACGTGACATGAACAGATGACGAAGGTAAGTGACACATCTAAACATGATAATCATGACAAAGAAGTCAGTCTTTGCTTTACGGCAGCCTGTGTGATACCGACTGAAAAACTGCGAGCTGAAGGAACCAACGGCCATTTTCTGAACCTCGTCTAGGAGCAGTAGATTTGACTCCAAACAATGAAAACAACCTGCTAACGCAAGCCCAATTGGGTTAAGAGAGATATTACCAGCGTATAAAGAGAGAACACCGACGGACAGACGCACACACACGCACTGTGCTGAACTCCCCACTGATTTATTACTTTGCACGCAAAGGCTTTTTGAGGAGTGCATGAAAGCAACGGAAAGACAACTTCACGAAATGAAGCGAAAAAAAAGACTCCTAGGAACAGGTTGCCGAAAAAAAAACACATTGAAGCAATGGTGACAGTGAAGTTAGAATAATCAAAACATCAAGCAAGATTGTAATAGAGTAGACGAAAGTAAAAAAAAACTTAAAATTCACTGACAGCATGGCCGATCCCAACAAGCCATGGATGGTGTATACACGAGACTAAGATAAAAAGACGGCTTCAAAAGTTATTCAAAAGGATTTCGCTATAGCTAGTGCACTTCTTTCTTGGAGACAGAAACAAAGGGAAAGATCTGTGTCATTATTCGTAGGTGTTTCGTATTTTCACGCTAGCCAAGTTTATATTAATATTATTGATCCAACTCGCCTATGGAGCAGTTTTGTTTAAACCCATTTGATTTTTCCAAAGCCCTTAAAAGTACATTAGGGCCGAATTGTCCCAAGCTTATTCTTGAGCGCTGATTCACCAAGAGTACTACGTATTTCTGACCACATTGCTTTTACTATTGAGATGGATTATTTTGTTGTTCTTTTATTACTCACACCACTATACAATTTGGCGCTATAGCTTGAGTACCGCAACCAATAAAACAATGTGCCGGTATGTGCTGCAAGTCGCCATCAGACACATGCACTCAGCATCATCAAGCTGGAACTTGAATAGCAACCGACAAGTGTGATAAAGCCCAGTATTCATAGCCCTTCATTAGCATAACTTTTTTTGTTTGTGCGTTTCAAGTGCGCTATACGCGCTACAGTTGCAAGTGCATGGGTTCAAAAACCGTAGTGTAGGCTTGTCAACACAGAACAGATTTATTCGACGCATAATTAAGACAGTAAAACGACACCCTAACGTGGGAGTTGCATTTTGAGACGCTGTTTTGCGTAAAGGTCACTGGAAAGGGCTTTTCAATATCACGCGTAATGTCTCCTTATGAGTGAGGACTTAGGAGTTTTCAGTCTTCTGATTGCGCTCTCGAAGTACGGCCATGTTGAATGCAGGAATACGAACTTCAAGCATATCTGCTTGCCCGTAATGCTCTCAGCCTATAGTCACAGGATCAGTACAGCAGCGTCATTTTCACCTCTTTAACATGAACAAGGAAGCGCACCTTGCACCTACAGTTGGTGCAGGCTACCAACCATTATCCGGAACTCAACGGAACATTCACAACAGTAAACTATCCCTACTATACGTCACAATCTTAGTAAGTTACTACGCTTACATCAATAAAAATTACTTTACAAGCGTCTCTAGTCACTCATATAGTAGTCATGCGGCACCAATTATATTGTTTTGTACGCCATTGCGACAGCATTCTTTATGGTTGGAAAAGTTTTAGGATCGCTGGAAGCTATGTACAGGAAGCGTTTGCAAAAAAAAGACAGTATAACTTCGATTAGGCGCAACTAACTTGCTAAAAAACTTTTAATGAGACCCAAAAATCAACGTTACGCGAAGACTCATGCCGGCTTCAGTCTCGGCAACTGCTGCTGGGCACCACCAGTCCTTCAAACGTCAACGAAACTTCGTCGTTTATATTGAGACCCTTCGACTCCAGTTCTTCCACTGTAATGGCTTTTATGCTTTGTGTAGAGCCCCCCTCGTTGTATTTTGACGTCATGCAGCACTCGCTTCGTTCGTTCGTCCTCGCGTTCAGTTGTAAGCCTGAGCCACGATCTCTTATCCTCGTGGTGCAGGAAGGTCAACTACATCATTTTCTCAATAGGACAGGGCGTCAAATTGTCAAATGCTTTATTGCAGACGAAAAACGCTAAGTGCACACCAAGTGAACCTTCTCAATTTAGAATCAGCAGCGTTGGAGTGATGTGATGCCGTAGCCTTTGAACGGGTGATGTGGCAGCGTGCGTAGGCTTGGCTGCCAGCCATTGCTGTTGCCTTCAATGCGGACCAGTTTTGAATGCTCCAAACAAGATGCTTCATAAACCTTAGGGCAGCCTGCGGGTAAATGGGCGTGACAGAAGCAAAGGAGGTTCATTACCCACTTCCGCTGTGTACACTCCTGCTATGCCTGTTAACGATCGCTTCTTTCCTAGTAGCACCTCGAGATATGCCAGCCGCATTGCTAAGCTTCTTAGTTCAGCCATTAATGCCCTCCACCGTTTTGGACAGCAGCGTGATCGGGCCTTCCAATTCGGGTACGAGTTGTGGAGGCCTACCCTCAGAGAAGCCAATGACAAATTCTATCAGTGTTTCGGCTGTGATTAGGTGGTTTTCGTGCAGCCAGTCCCGATGTAAAAGTACAGAATATGGTAGCCCGTGGCTATTACGATTCATGTCAAACTTTATTAGGTCCGCGCATTCTTTCAACGTTGATGTGTCCTCGATTTTCGGCATGCCGAATTCCTGTTCACCAGTGCCGTCAGGTTCGTCCCCATGAGTTGAGTGGACTTGTGTGGTTACTGTTCCATTTGTCAGCCCCGTTAGCGTTTCTTTTGCCTCTTCAGCTTCTCTGCTTGAACTCGTATACCACTGGAAAGACGTACGTTGTGCCTCGTCAGCATGGTCATGCCATGCCTTCACAGACGGGATGCTCTCCCACAAAAGCCGAAGATAATGTCCTAAAGATTCCCCACTGGCGTACAACATTTTGTCCGTGTTGCAAACCGTAAGTACACCCGAATTTTCTGCCCCACTCGCGCTTTTTGAAGAACCCCATCGGTCGACCTCTTCGGCAGCATCGCGACTTCCATTTATAGTAAAAATCTTCACTCGCGCGCAAGCCTCCCAGGCTTTGTATTGACCTTCGCGAGAAACTTCACCCAAACGGCGCGATTGGCCAACGCTGTCTTCCACGCTAACCGTGGCCACTAGCACGGAGTTCAGGGCTTTCTCAACGTTCGCTTCTTCGTATTTATCAAGCACCCGTTGAAAAGGTCTTTGATTTGTCAAACTCATATCACTGTCACTATCATGCGATGGCGGCTCGGTTGAGGGCATATTCTCCTCGACGGAACTCGGTACATCTGATGACGTGCTCGTCGAATCCGTTTCAGCTTTACGGGCGAGCGCACCATTCGCCAGGAAAGCTTGGAAGCACCTTGACGCCAAGTGCCGATTTAGATTACACAGTAGCAAACTCTTGCTGCAGAAACTGCACATGACGGCGTGGTACTCACAGTCCCTCAGGAAATGGCTTAATATATAAAATGCAGGACCGGAGGCTCCACAACCATTGTTGACATTCCAGCAGCGAATCTGCGAATCAGATAAGAAAACGACACGTTAGCCTACTCACCATGAGATTAAGTAGAAATCTGCCACCTCTACACGTTCTTGATTTTTGTTCTTTGCAAAGGTAATTTCTGGCACTGTGTCTGAAGCATGTGTTCGAGTTTATTGCCGCCCAAAGTACACTTCTGCCTGTATATCACAACAGCGCACACGTCAAAAAGCGTAATGCTCTTTCTGTACACATTGCATTCAACTGTGTTTCGTGTGTTTGGTGCCAAGAGCAAGCCTTCAAGGAATAGGCAAGTGACTAACATTCAGAGTTAGCTTCACCCAAAAGGCTACTTGTAGACAAGTGAACAAAGGTTTTAGAAAATACGCGACGTAATAGATATATTGGTGTACAATTGGAAGTCAGAATTAGCCAAAATAATGTTTTAGCTTTCATAGCTTCTTGAAGTCATCCAGAATTGAGCATGATGGTACCACATCCTGAGTCGAAGCCTGCAAAGCAAACTGGCCGGTACAATTCTTCCGAGTCGAGGGCAAGAAGAACCACAACCGAAAGCCGTCTCAGCAGAGAAGGCATAACTTTATCATTGCCCACACAACCGCGAGGCATCGTTTTCCCAAAACCAAGTAGTTACGCTCCGTCATTCGCAACCATCACAAAAATACGTGGAAGCGGAGTGTTGCGACAGGTGCAAATGTATTTGGCCAGTTGCGCGGTTGCACGCATTGCATTTTCGCTAGACATCTGACTGCATTTTCGCAAGGTGTTACAAGCCGAACATATTGAAAACGTTCGGGCACACACACATCAGACGAAAAACGAAAGGTAAGAAGAAAAACGGGCGCGATATTCGCTCCTTTTCGTCTTCTTAGCTTTCGTTTTTCGACCACTGTGTGCGCGCCCAAAGTTTTCCATAATTGCCCTCAAGCCAGCTCGCCCAGCATTCCATATTTTAATGCAACAGACCGAGCTTTCGCCTCGGCATGGCCTCATGGGGCATGGCTGGAGCGAACGTGGTCATACCAACAGTCCTTCAGATTTCAAGCTGATGCAGGTGTGCCTGGCTCGAGTAGTCGCAATAAGATGGCGTAATATATGGCGCAATAGATGACGTAAGATACGATGGCGCAATATATGGCCCTTAATGTGAAACCACACTGACGCACTCACATTCCGCTATAACGTAGCATGGAATGGGTCACTTTAGACAGTTCGTATAACCAAGCCACTCATCAATACTTGGACAACGTGGAATGAAGCTTTCCAAAAGAAGAGGCGTGGGTGTACCTTGGAAAGTTTTGGAATGATTCAATACGTGTGAGTGTCTCTTACACACAATCAACTTGGCATAGTAACGCCTGGTTGTCTCACGGCCATTGGAGCCCGCGGTATCCCAAGAGATTTCTGCCGACTTACATTAGGCACTGTAACCGACTTCTGGGTTGGTCCGCCCTTTCAGAAGAAAAAATGTTTTGATCGTAATCATCATGTACAACGAGTGTAAATCCATGTCTATGGCAGCCATGTGGGCGTATGACGCTCATAAGAGGTATTAGTCCTCTTATTTTAGCACCAGGCATGCTCCCTTCCATCCCGAAAAGAAAGGTGTTGTCTTTAGAGTGCATTCAGTTGCGGTACTGTTTCTGTGTTCAAACGCATTTTATGGTAGGCTTTGCATTTCCAGCTAATAAACAAAGGGACGTCACATAGGAAAACGTTGAGCTTCTGCCGCATTTCATTGCTCCCGAAAGTTTCTTTCCTATAGCAGGCTTGAGTGTCCATGAATCTGGCCGTACTTAGATAATAAACTGCAAATGTGACGTTGCAAAGTAGTCATGATATCTGGCTTTTACATCCATAAGCAACATAATTGTTAAAAAATAATGATATCTGGGCTTCTACATTCTGAAAACCATATTATGAGGGACGCCGTAGGGGAGGGCTCTGGAAATTTTGACCGCCTAGTGTTAAAGGCACACTAACATCACGCGATACACGGGCCTCTACCATTTCAAAACCACCATGTTGATTGTAATCGACGATGACAAGTAGGGCATGTCCAAACAGTTAGTATTAAAAAAACGGATCTGATCCCCCTTTTTTTGGAAATCGGTAAAAAACGATAATGAACCACGCCCTCGCAAAGGTAGTTGAGCGTTCATTGTGCATTGTTCCTGCTTGCAGGCGAAGGTGTGAATGCAACAACAACAAATTGCAATTCCACGTGAAGACCGGTTAGCAGCTCGAAACATGCAGCGCACGCCTCAAACAGAAAGCACGCCCGATTAACATATACTGCAGGAGCGTGGACAAGCAACTATCCCAGCTCAACTCCTAAAGGGGCCCTGAAACCCTTTTTCAAGTAACCATGGAATGAGTTCACTGGAAGAGCTTATTGCCTCACAAATTCAACGCTGCAAAAATGTTGAGAAACCACCCAGTACGAGTGGAGTTACAAATTTTTGTCGTATGCTGCAATTGCATTCTCTCTTCTCTCGTCCCGTCGAAAGCGCTGTAAGCTAAGCAGGGAGCGATGGCAGGGCCGCAGAAAAACGTCACGCGTGCCTCATGACATTCAGCACGGTTTTTTGGAATGCGCGGCTTTGTTAGTGTGATCGCGCGCGCACGTCTGGACAAGTAGCGGCCTCCCGTGGCGATCTCTGTAACAAGTGACCGCGCCATGTTCAAATCAGCCAATGGCTATTAGATGGGCTTACTAAGTGTGATCTTTGGGCATATTACGTGATTTGTGGAAAGAAGAAAAATAATTCTAGCTGAATTTGATATTTTATTGTGAATTCCAGGCCACGTGCTGCGCTATTAATATTTGGCTTGCGTGTTGTAGGGAGCCTCTACTACCAATCGGCAGCGTTTTCTGACCATGCTCAAAAAGTGTTGCAGGGCCCCTTTAAAGCACACTGATCAAACAGCAAGAAACACGCATGAACTGAACGCATAGGTATAGACAGGATGGGCGCGAACACCTGTAACAATTCTTATTTGTTCGTCTGTGAGCAGCGGGCTGCTTTTATGAACGCGTCCGTGGGCGAAGTGGCGTTCGTGAACTGCGACTTCAAAGCCAACTCGTAGAGGGTGCACAAGATGTACAAGGCCCCCGAATCCCGAAATAAGTGCGCGCGAGTGACCCAACACGCTATTGAACAACTATACGCACTTTTACCACAAGATGTGGAGATGCGCGCGCATAGTAACACACGGGGTGGCACAGCATGGTGATCTTTAGAGCGCGCCCGCATAACAAGCCCATCGTGCCATCAGGCTACTGATGACGAAAACGTGCTAAAGTTGCTGAACTTCGAGACCGGCAGTGCCAAATGGTGTATATATATGGCTCTACATGAATACGGTGAATAAGGTTTGATCTGTGGGAAAGCGGTTAGCATCGCGCGCTGAGAAGTGCGATGCTGCTTGTTGAGGAACTTTTCTTTTTTTTAATGCGAAGGATTTCTTAGCGAACTCCGGCGACGTTGAGCGTATCTATCTATCTATCTATCTCTCTATCTATCTCTCTCTATCTATCTCTCTATCTATCTCTCTATCTCTCTATCTCTCTCTCTATCTCTCTATCTCTCTATCTATCTAGTCGCCTATTACTTTTAGCTCTTCTGGCCGTTTCAATAATAGTATCGATACCAAACTTCGTATAGCATAACATGACTCTATGAAGAACATATTTCACTCGTCGTACATGAAAATCATTATATGTATGTCATGAATGTCATGATTTACATTTCATGGTCCTGCAGCTCTTGCGCTGGTTTCGTTCACATGGCATGTTGCAAAACTGGTATGCTAAGACATTATTATTGCATGGCGAACACAAGCGAAAGACCCTAACATAGTAATGATGACATGTGTGTCATGTAGCAACATGACTACATGCCACGCTCATGATGCGCTCGCGGCCGTTTCGCTAGCGTCACATATACCAAATTTTGTTGTACGGTACGTGAATGCATGAAGAAGGTATGTGACTGGTGCAAACATGATAATCATAATAAGATGCCGTGTCATGTAACAACATGACTACATGCCACGCTCATGATGCACTAGTTGCCGTTCCGCTAGTTTCACTTATGCCGAATTCGGTATTACGGGTTGTGAATGGACGACGAAGGTATGATACTGGTGCAAACTTCATAAACATGAGATGCACGTCAAGTAACATGACTAGCTTCACATGTACCAAACTCGCTATTACGCGACGCGAATGGACGACATAGGTAAATGACACATCCAAACAAGATAATGACGACATGATGCGTGTCATGTAACAACAAGACTACATGCCACACTCATGATGGGCTCACGGCCGTTTCACTAGCTTCAAATATGCCAAACTTTGTATTACGTGACTTCATTGATGACCAAGGTATGTGACTGGTGGAAACATGATAATCATGAGATGCGTGTCATGTGAGAACATGACTACATGCCCTAGTCAAGGCACCAATACATTTCGACGTGACGTGGTGCGCGCGCTCGCCGACGTTCGTTTCGTCACTTCACGCCAGCGTACCTCACCAGGTGCCGGTCCTGCCATATATTCGCAGGTGCTTGCCGCACTGCGTTCCTTTGACGCATATGCGTTTCAGCTCGTGCGGCGTCCCTCCGTCACGGAAAGTGGGAGACGCAGTTTTGTCTGGGTAACACACCGGCGCGAGATGCAGCATGTCACATTTCGCACTGGTTGCCATCGGGCAGCGCCGACAGACGCTGGTCGTGCCAGCCGCGTCTGGCGCCAGACTATAGAGGGCTCGCGTTTCGCTAACGTAGCATCGCTGAGCCCTTTGTGCACGCGTGTCAACGCTACATTAGAGTATATTGGGCCATTCATGATGCACTCGCGGTTGTTTTGCTAAGCTGCACATATACCAACTTGGGTGTTACGGGAGGTCAATGCATGATGAAAGTATGTTACCGCTGCAAACATGATAATCCAGACCCACTTGTCATGTAAGAACATGACAACATACTACCCTCATAGCGTGCT